CTCTCTCTCCTCGCTCAGGTGCCTCTCCTCTGGTCTCTCTTCACTCAGGTGCCTCTCCTCAGGTCTCTCTCACCTCACCCAGGTGCCTCTCCTCCTTGCTCAGGAAGCACACCAACTGTAACATTCTGGCTGCAATGATGGGATGTCGCAGAGGAAATCTCAGTGCCGTCTAGGGCTGTTACCAGCAGTCATGGTCACAGCTAGGGTGCTGATGGGGAAGTCAAACACCTTGCGGTGCAGCCAACAGCTCTCAGGTGACCTTCCAGCAATGGTCCTGCACCTCCCACAGTGGCCGGCCAGGACCACGGGAACTGAGTGATGTAGGCTCAAGGACACTGGTCAGTTCCCGGACTGCGGGCAGGGCCCGGCCTGAAAACTGGCACGCAGCTTACTTCTACCAGGGTCAATGCTGCAGAGGGTCAGGGGCCCCTGCGACCACTCACAGGAGTCTGTAGAGACGTGTAGGCTTTGGGTCTGAGGTCCATCCTGTGAGAAGCTTCTAGGCCTGGAAAACATGGCGGGTATAACGGGGCAACGCAGCAGCCCATGCAGGGCTGCAGGTCTCTCCTGCTCCCTGGACATCCCGAGGGGGCCAGAGGCCTGAGTATGTGTGTGAGCGGGAGGCCGGCGGCCATGCAGTGCCCTGAGCCGCATGGGGCAGCCGGAGGCACATGACCTGCGGTGCCTGTGGCCGGAGTCGGGACAGGCCTGGGGGAGGGTAAGCATTTCCCCATCAGGGACCTGCTCCTCTTGTTGACGTCTGACCCCCATACACACTGAGGGCTCTCACTTGGCCACCACTCCCCACTGTGTCCAGCTCATCGGCAGATGAACCAGCTCCGCGGAACGTCAGTGCCAGCCGTGCACGGGCCACTCCTGACTGCACCGCTGCAGGCCTTTCTTCCGCGTGCCTCTGGGAGGCTGACCACAAGCAGCCCGGTGCCCACGAGGTCTCGGGCGGTTCGGGTCAGCTGGTTCGGTTCTGCTTTGTTTTGTTGGGGTGCGAGTGGCCGCCACGCAAATGCCTGGTGTCCCGGGCGCTCGGGGGCTCAGTGCGTGGTCAGCCCAAAGACTCGGTTCGAATCCACCGGCCAACCTCCTCCGAGCAACCTGCAGCCTCTGAAACAGCGGTCAGCTGGGCTGAGCTGAGGGTGGACAGTCGGCGTCCACGGGTCAGTCTTCAGGGGTCCTCGGGTGCATGCAGGTCAAAACGTGTCCCCTGCTGCAGTCCAGCGAACTTACACACACGAACTTGGACCTCTGACCTCACCGCCATACCGCGATATGCGCACAGGCAAGCTAACCCAGGTGGTCAGCACTTCCCAGCCTCGGCCCCTCGTTTGCACCTGGCCTTGACGCCACGAGGGACGCACGCGCTCCTACGTCACGTCACGTGCGCGGCTGGGACTACAACTCCCAGGAGGCGGCGGGGCGGCGGCCTCCCGGCATGCCTCGCGGGCGCGCGGGCCTCTGGGAGATGGCGGCGGGCGCGCGGGGGCGGCCGTGGGGCGCGGCAGACCGTGAACAGGAGCCCGGGACCCCGAGCGCAGGACTGGACGTCGCCCGCGGCCTGGAGAACCTGCCGGTGGCCGCCTGGCCCCCGCGCGAGCAGCCGCCGCCTTTCCAGGTGGGCGGGCCCAGGTGGAGGCGGGCGGGCGGTGATGGCGCGCGTGCTCGTGGGGGTGATCGGGGACGTGCGCGATCGGAGGCGCGCGTGCTTGTGGGGGCGCTCGGGGGCGCGCTCTCAGGTGTGCGCGCCGCAGCCCCTCCCTGGGGGCGGGCTGTGCAGTGTGTGGACGCGGGGTTTGCTCCCTCTCCTCCTGGGCCCTAACCGGGCCTTTCTAGCCGCGAGCGCCCGCGCCCTGAAAGGTGAAGGTCGTGTGGTCCCCAGGAGAGCACCTGCAGACTGTAGAGCTGATCTTGGGGCCAGCGCAGCTGCTGTGGTCGAGGGGAGGTGGCCCGGGGTGAACTTAGGCAGGTGAGTCAGCCACCCTGGTTCCACCGGTGGAGGGAAAGTGCAAGAAGTGCGCCTGAGACTTCACCAAGCACAGTGCTGTCCCCCGAGCACAGTGCTGTCCCGGAGCGCAGTGCTGTCGCCCAGTGCAGTGCTGTCCCCGAGCACAGTGCTGTCACCCCCCCCAGTACAGTGCTGTCCCCCGAGTGCGGTGCTGTCCCCGAGCGAGCGCAGTGCTGTCACACCCCCCCCCCAGTGCAGTGCTATCCCCAGTGCAGTGCTGTCGCCCAGTGCAGTGCTGTCCCCGAGCACAGTGCTGTCACCCCCCCCCAGTACAGTGCTGTCCCCCGAGTGCGGTGCTGTCCCCGAGCGAGCGCAGTGCTGTCACACCCCCCCCCCCAGTGCAGTGCTATCCCCAGTGCAGTGCTGTCGCCCAGTGCAGTGCTGTCCCGTCAGCGTGGTGCCCTGTCCTGAGCGCAGTGCTGTCCCTCAGGATTCTTTTGCTTCTTCACTCAGTCACTTTCCTACTTGGCCTTAAAGCACCATCATGATCCATGGAGAAAAGATTCCATTTTATTTGGATCCAGAATCAACACCCATGGTGGCAGGCGTCAAATCAAGAGACCTGTTGCATGGAGGAAATCTGCCAGGGACCTCTCCACAGTTCTAAGGAACAAAGATGTTAGTTTAAACACTAAGGTGCACCTGATCCAGGCCACGGTCTTTCAGTTACTTGCTCTGCCTCTGAATGTTGGCTGGTGAAACAGGATGACAGCTGTGTGGTGATGAGCACTGAACGTCCGTGGATTCCTGAAAGAGCAAACTCCTCTGTCTTGGAGGGAGTGCAGCCAGGGAGCTCCTTTGAGGCGAGAATGTGGAAGTTTCATCTCTCCTACTTGGAGCAGGTTGTCGGGAGTGGTCAGCCCTTGGAATGGGACCTCATGCTGGGAAAGTCAGTCGGAGGGTCAAAAGAGGAAGACCGTCCACAGCATGGATAAGTGCAATGGTTGTCACAGTGGGCTAAAGCAGATCAGACGTTAGGAATGGCACAGGGCAGGGCAAGGTGCAGATCTGTTGTTCAGTTCAGAGGGCGCTGGGCATCAAAGTCACCTTGACGGTACCTAACAACAGCTACTTCCAAGCCAAAAAACTGCCTAAGGAATGACCACTCCACTCCCAAGCCCCCAAAAAGTGGCTCTTGAAGTGGAAAAAATACTAAAGATGAAGGATGAAGAGCTACGTTTAAGGCTGAGTCATCTTAGTTCCTCTGAGCTTATTTTTTCCCTCTGCAAAATAAAAATAATGTGAATATTTATACAACCCTCTAGATTCGTCAACAACCTGTGTTATGCAGATGACATAAACCTGTTTATTGAAACTGAGGAGGACCTGAAGCACTTGCTGCAGAAGGTCAAAGACTGCAGCCTCCTATATGGATTGAAGCTCAACATCAAGAAGACAAAGATTCTCACCACTGGGCCAACTGGCAGCATTAGTATGGATGATGAAGAGATGGAGATAGTTAACAGTTTTAGTGTGCTTCACTCCACAGTCGACACCCTTGGTACCACAGCAGCCAGGAAATCAAAAGATGAATTGCATTGGGAAAGGCAGCTGTCAGGGACCTTTCCAGAGTACTGAGTAACAGTGTCAGGCTGGAGACCAAGGTGCGCCTAATCCAGGCAATACTCTTTCCAATTACGTGTTATGCATTGGAGAGCTGGACAGTGACTAGGGATGATAAAAAGAGAGAAAGAAAAAGCCTTTGGGCTGTGGTGCTGGAGAAGAGTGTTGAGTATACCATGGACTGCTAGGAGAACAAACAGGTTTGTCTTGTAGAGGGTGAAGCCAGGTTGCTCCTTGGAGTCAAGGATTCTGAAGCTTCGTCTGACATACTTTGGGCATATTGCAAGGAGGGGCAGGTCCTTGGAGAGGGACATCATGTTTGGGAGGGTGGACAGACAGCGCAAGAGAAGACCCTCAATGAAATGCATCGATTCAGTGATTGGAGTGGTGGGAATAAGTGTGTCAGAGACAGTGAAGTTGGCACAGGATAGAGCACCATTTAGGGCTCTTGTACATAGGGTCGCTGTGAGTCACAAACAACTCGCTGGCACATAACAACAGCCAAAATAATGATGTGAATATTTACAGCCCTCTAACCATCATAGGAACCCTCGCTGGCACAGCATTAAGCTGCAAAATGAAAGGATTCTAACTCACTAGCCACCCTGAAGGAGAAAGATGTTCTCTGCTCCTGTGAGGATTTGGAAGCCGACAAGGCAAGTCTCCATTCTGTGGGGTCGCTGTGAGTTACAGTCACCACCACAACAGAACATAAAGCCATCAACACCCAAGGTTAGCTGTCCTTTCTTCCTAGAGTGTTTGAGGATCAACTATAATAATATATTGAACATCCATTTTCAAAGAGTGGAATAAGATATTACTATCAGAAACTATATTCTCCCACAGAATGCCTTGTTACTGATAGTGTTGTCTGGCGCACTGACCCCACAATGTCTCTGTAAGAGCCCACCATGTGCCAGGTGTTGTATGAGTCCAAACTCAGAAGGTAAAATGATCACTCACATCCTTGCTCTGGTGATTACAAGAGAAAACAGAAGGAAGATAGCTGCTGTAAGAAGGGAAGAAGCAGCAGCTATGTGAGGGACCCCTAAATGTTGAATTGATAAGCAGAAGTGCAATTTAGAAGACTCAGTCCTGCAGTATCCTAGTTACCCAGCTCTATGCACAGCTGCAGATAGAGTTAGCATTACATTAAGACAAATTTCTAGTATTACCAAAAGAAAGTGTTCTTAAACATTTCCATGACAAGCCTAAAAGGATCTTAAACTAATTTGCTTCCATATGTTCATGGAGTACAAAAACCATTCTTAGGAAAACTCAAAACAGCTTTCTTGCTCCAAACTCTGCCTTCACATGCATACACACACCCAAGAATTAAAGCACCAAAAATCAAGGTAAAAATAACTGCCTGCTTTGCTTTGGGGTATGAAAAGGCAAAAACAACAACAACAACAAAAAAAAAACCCAACCCAAAACCATTCAGATGTTCTGTTGGCAACAAGGATAACAGTGCCATCAGTATTAAAAGCCAAGTAGAAAAGAAACTGGAAAACAAACCCATGGAGATGACCCTTGTTTTCAGGCCTCAAAGCCCGCTCTGGCCAGCTTTGCAAGCCCTCAAGTGGGGCCTTGGGACTGATCTGACTCACGGGCTCCTAGTAACTCCTTGGCACATAAACAAACTCGTGGGGCTCTGGGCCAAGTACAGAGATTCCTGTCGCTCGTGATCCAGAACCACCAAAAAAGGAGTGAAGACTGTCCAGCGTTTCCTCGCAGTGCAGGATGCGGCCCAGGGGTTAAGCCCCGACCAGCATGCACTGTCAGGCCTCCTCTCCAGCGGCTTTCACACAGAATGGGATTAGAAAAGTTAGCAAACTCCAGTCAGGTTATCAAGCAATCCAGTCACGTCCCGTGCTCTGCCCAATAGCCTGTAACCTAGAGGCCACCCCACAAGTGTGGGGAAGGGCTGCCAGTCCAAGGGAGGTGGGCAGTCCCCCGCCTGTGCCGTTTACAGCCCCGGAAACCAGCTCCGAGGTGCTTCCAGCTGGTTGGCAGTGAGCTGAGTTTGAATCTGTGCCCAATGTTATGGAAGGTAGGAAGCTGGCTTTTCCAAATCATAAAGGCACAGGACTTGTGTGGAGACCTAGAAAAGCTCAGTACAGTAACACAACTACAAAGCCTTATGGTCTGACATTGAGAGCCCAAGTTCATGCTCTTAACATTAAGTGCAGGCCAACTTCAGGGGGGGAAGTGTTAGACATATTGCTTTAGCAGTCCCCGTGGAAAACAAATCCCTCCTCTGCTTCTGTGTCACATGACATTATGCTGGGAAAGGTGGGGCCTCAGAGACAGAGGATGACCCTCAGGAAGCAGGACTGGCTGTACGAGTGGGCGCACATGTCCAAGCTGAGGAGATGGGACAGACTAAGGCAGTGTTCCAGAACCTGCCGCTCCTAGAGTCAACAGCGGACATCCCAGAGGTGGGCCTCGTTCTCTGCCCCAACTCATGGGCCTGTCCATAAAGAAAACATTGGTGATGGGACCTCGTGTGTTCTGACCAGCCCGTCGGGTCCCTGCACTGAGTAAGCTGCGGCATCTTTCGCCTTCAGTGCAGCTGATGGACTTGAACTGCTGATCTTTGAGTTTTCAGCCCCACTGTCTGACTGCGCCCCACAACTCAGGCTTAGTGTAGGCACAAACAGCCCTGAGGGTAACACTCATTCCAGGTCGGCCTAGTCCTCGGTTTTGTAGCAGGAAGTGGGGTACAGACTGTATGTGCAGAGAGTATTGCAGATTGGCAGTGTCCAGGCTCAAGGGAGCTGACACTGTGTGCCGCACACTTGCCATGGCCTTGCAGATACTCAGAGTTTAACAGTTTATTTGGCATACGAACGTTTTCATAGACTGTTCAATAATTGACTTGTTTCTGAAAAGATCAAGTCACTTTTCTGTATGAGGTTAAGAACCAGAGAAGAATCATCCCACAATCACGAAAAACCAAACCCGGATTTCCATGGCAGGCTCTTTCCTGTGGTCGTTTTTGTCAGGAGCCGTATTTCACTGACAGAGGAGAAAATAGAGGCAGAGACAGAGGAAATAGTTTGCAGCAGTCCTTGTTTCAGATTCACGGGGGAAGACACAGTCCTCTTCTTCCAGCAGGAAGCTTTGCCAGTCTGTCAGGCTTTGGAAGACGCCTACAGCTCATTTGACATCAGCTGCCATTTATAGTCTTAAATCCCTACAGGATCTTAGATTGGACATCAAGTTTGGGTAGCAGAATTTAAAAATATTATCACTAGATTGCCCAACATTTTTAAAATCTGCAGATCAAAGTCTTTGCATGCCTGTCCATGTGTAAATGTGTCCAACAAGAAACAGTGTGTTGTCCCAATGAGGAGCTGTGGCCAGTGTGACATGACCATATAAGGAGGTATCCGTGTCCAGAAAAAAAAATACAATCACTTCATAGATTAATGATTCATACAGTGATCTTTAAAATGTGAACTTTTAAGAGCAAATCAGTTTTTAAAATTCTGAAAAGCTTAGGAAAGAAATAATAAAATCCATCTTCCACAAGTGCTTCTTAAAACTCTCTCAAAAACTGTTTACATGCTGAATCTGAATCCTTTAAAAGGCTGAAGCAGACAGGGTGTAAAGCGGCAGTCATCGAGTGTGCCTGATGGGACCTCTCGCTCAAAGCCACCCCGCAACCCTCTAGGACATCCGGCTGAGTCCCAGGAGACCCCGCAGCAGAAGCTGTTTGTCGTCCCCCCCCAAATGGCCTCCCCCACTGCGGGCCGTCCCCCACAGCGGCCCCACACTCCCTCCTCCAGCTCAGCCTGTGAAGGTGAAGGGCTTTGCAAGTCCTTACAGAGCTCCAGTGTCCTCTGAAGGAAGTGTGGCCACCTGCTGCTCGTAAAAAGCCTGGCCTGGAGAAGGAACAGTGATGGAGGTTGGACTGAAAGTTGTGATGATGGAACACTCCCCTGGTGCTGAAATGTGCTGTCAAGTAGACCATGACTCATGGTGACCCTGAACCCTGCTCTGTGCTGGGCCCGTCTCACTGCCTCTGACACTCATACCCTCATTACCCGATACTGTGTGAATCCATCTCATTCAGGGTCTTCCTCTCCTGCACTGTCCCTCCACCCTTCCAAGCATGATGCCCTTCTCCAAGGACTGGTCTTTGCTGACAACACGCCCAGGGAGTGTGAGACAGAGCCTCAAAATCCTCGCCTCCAAAGAACAACTTGGCTTCACCCTCTCCAGGACAGACCTGTTAGTTCTCTTGGCAGTCATTGGTATATTCAATACTCCAGCCCAATTCAAAGACATCAATTCTGACCTCTGTGGTCATTGTTCAGGTCTCTGATGCATAACAGGTAGTTTCAAAGACCATGGCCTGAATCAGAACCACCTTAGTCTCTAGGCTTACATCATTGTTCTTTAGTACTCTAGAGAGGTCCCTGACAGCAGATGTTCCTAATGAAATTCGTGTGTTGATTTCCTGACTGCTGGTCCCAAGTGTATTGACTGTGGAGCCAAACATGCTGAAATTGTTGATAACCTCAATCTGTACAATCTATCCCCTCCTGGAAAGCTGAGCAGCAGTCCCCTGCAAAAGGCACTTACCAGAATGCAACAAGGAAGCGTGTCTTTACTGGAGGGTCAGCCTTTATTGAAGGACGGAATTTTTGTTTTTAAATCCATAAACTCCTTCCTGGAAAAGAATGGATTCAGAGGACATGTTGATGAAATTTCTCTACGGTCTCAGTTTTGGAAAGAGTGCTGCTTGTGAATAGTGAGGCTGTTCTGTCTGACCCATGTCCATTTTACAGCTAACTCTGTCTCCTCTTGGAAGTGCTTGGCTACCCCAGGCTGAGCAAGGCGTCCACACTCAGCTTAGGGCCACAAGTACAAATTAATGATTTCAGGTCCACATAAACAAGAATGCTTCTATTCGTTTAAAAAAAAAAAAAAGGTTAATGAGATACTTGAAACTCCAGGGTTCAAAAATGAGCTTTGTTATGCCAGCAGAGATAGCCAGAGATTTGGCTTTCCATGGACATTAGCCATCTTAGAATGCCTTCTTTTTTCATAACATTGTAGCAATGTTGTGTCTGAAAATACATGAACACTGAAGAGACTTATGAAACTTTGTATTATCTCTTTATCATTTAATAAGAAAATTCTTTACATAAAAGGCAATAAAAAAATCCAACTACCTATTAACAAATACCATTCTTAGTTATGTCTGCACTTTTCAGTCAAGTAGTTTTAATATTATGAAAGCTCACGTGAAACTATAAAGCAATAGTGGCTTTTTTCAAAACAGCGTATTTAAAAATTTAGGTAATCCTCAAATTTTAAAAAAATTCTAGGAAAGTCATCAATGGAAGATTCTTTGCCCAGAGGCCATCTTTTTTTCTCATCCATGCCCTTCTTTTGTCAGACCCGAGGTAACTTGGCATTTACAGATGTGGTGGTGATACGTGCCCTCCAGTCATCGCTGGGTCACAGCAGACCCCTCAGAAGGTCGTCAGAGGCTGTGAAGAGAAAAATGGTCATCTGTCTCCCCTGGAACAATGGGTAGATGCAGACAGCCTGTCTGGATTATCAGATAAAGGAGAGTAAATGCCAAGGGTGACCGTCTTACTGAAAGCAGGTGCTCACACAGCCTTGGTGTTCCTGGTATCCAAAGCCGGGGGCGTTGTGGACTTTAGTGCTGCTGACTTGTGATAAGAGAAATGCTATACTTACTGTTGCCCTTCACCAAAAAGAAAACCAGAGATTTAATCTAAAACAATGAAGCTTTTAAAAAACCTTTATTGTGATTTGAGTGAAAAGTTGCAGAGAGTTGTTTTCAGTTCATTGGTTTCTACCCATTTGATGACACTGATGGGGATTCCAGCAATGTGCTGGTGCTCTCCCCACTTCCGGTGTTTCCTGTTTCCTTTCGTCCTTCTGTCCCTTCCTGCCATCTCCACTTCATCCCTGAGCAGATGTTTCAATGTTGACTGCTTTAAAAAGTCCATTCCTCTGTAGAGTTACCACTTTTAGGTCAATTAGTTGGCTGCAAGTCGGGGGGATATCCACTCCAGACTGAAAGGTCTTAGAGCTTTTCTCTCTCAGACCAGTAAGCCTGGTCTATGTATGAACTGGGGGCAAGGGTACCTTTTCTGACAGTATCTTTAAACTGTGTTTTGTCAGTTTTGTTTTTATACACAGTCTTTCTGCTGAAAGCTGCTTGGCACATGCGTGTGTACGAACTCCGTGGGGAGCTATGCTGACCTGCCCCGTTTGTGTTGTTTGCAGTACACCCCGGATCACGTTGCCGGACCCGGAGCCGAGGCCGATCCCAGTCAGATAACCTTTCCTGGATGCTCCTGTCTGCAGACTCCCTGCATCCCAGGTGCATGCCCGTGTCTGCATCATGAGAACTATGACGACAACGCCTGCCTCAGACACCTAGGCTCGGAGGGTCGGTACGCGCAGCCGGTGTTTGAATGCAATGCCATGTGCCAGTGCAGTGACCACTGCTGTAACAGGGTGGTCCAGAGGGGTCTCCATTTCCGCCTGCAGGTGTTCAGGACGGACAGAAAGGGCTGGGGGCTCCGCACCTTGGAATCGATTCCAGCAGGAAGGTTTGTCTGTGAGTATGCTGGGGAGGTTTTAGGGTTCTCTGAGGTACAGAGGAGAATCCAGTCACAGACAGCGCATGACTGCAATTACATCATTGCCCTCAGGGAGCACGTTTATAACGGACAGGTAATGGAGACCTACATCGACCCCACGTACACAGGGAACATCGGAAGATTCCTCAACCACTCCTGCGAACCTAACCTGGTGATGGTTCCTGTCCGAGTTGACTCCATGGTCCCAAAGCTGGCGCTTTTTGCAGCCAAAGACATTCTGCCGGGAGAAGAACTCTCCTATGATTATTCAGGGAAATTTCTTAATATGAAGGACAATGAAGATGGACAGAGGCTGGAGAAAGGGGGACCCAGAAAGCCGTGTTACTGTGGTGCCAGGTCCTGTGCTGCCTTCCTGCCGTACGACAGCTCGCTGTTCACCCCTGAGAGCTAGGCCCCCAGGGATCTCACCTCCGCCCCGCCAGCTTCCCCTCTCGAAAGCAGCTTCTCCAGGTCTGTGCCTGCTCCTGGCGTGCAGCGTGCCCATCTGCAAGGAAACCCAGGGGTTGTGTCTGCCTCTCTGTAAGTTCAGTCATGAACATAGGATACAGAACATCCAAGTTGTCCACCATGCTCTCTCACTCCTTTTAGGGTCGAAATCTCTGTTTTTAGCTCAGTGCATGACTTCCCAGAATACCTACTAATTAGATGTGGCCAAGTGACTCTTCTTGGTGCTGCAAAAATGGCCTGATCTTAAGACCCTTTCTGTCTCTGTTGGACGTGTATGTGATGGCTGGGGCAGGAGCAGTCATTGCAGACCCCGAGATGACCCTGGGAGAGGAAGCCATAGGAAGAAGTCTGGGTCCTGGTGCTCTGGAACGATCACCGAGGGCTGAATTGTCTCCCGTAAACTTAAAGGGGAGACTGTTAAGATGTCCAGGGCGTCACTCACGGCCCTGCCTCCTGTTCTCTCCATCGCCATAAAGGGGGAAAATAGAGACAAGAGAAGTAGACTTCCTTCTGGAAGCCACTGCTGTATCGGGTGTTCTAACATTCACACAGTCCGCTGCTTTCCAGTCAGTGTCATCAGCAGGGACCCTCTGCTGTCCCTCCGTCTGCCTCCTGGGTTCTCATTTCTTTCTGACCACTGAGTATGGGAAAAGGCCGTGGGAAGGGGCCATTGCTGGCACACCCCGCCGGGCCTGTGCCGCCCTCACTACCTCAGCGCTGCTTCAGCCCGCTGTCCGGCACCAACAGTCCATCTCGTTGAGTCTGCCTCTTCCACTGAGCATCTGTTTTGCCAAAATGATGTCCTCCAGGGACTAGGCTTTCCTAGTCACATGTCCAAAGTCCGTGAGATGCTGTCCTCCCTTCTAAGGAACGTCTGGCCGTCTTAGGACAGATCTGTCTGTCCTGGAGTCTACCAACATCATCATCAAATCAGTTCTTCAGCCCTCTTTAATCATTGGTCAGCTCTCATATCGAGGATGTGACTGAACAGACTATGGCTTGGGTCACACACACCTTAACTCCTCAAAATGACTTGTTAATGCTTTAAAAAGGCCTTTTACTAGATTTGTCCAGGATAACACCGCTGTGTCTCTTGACCACTGCTCCCACAGCCAAGGGTATAAATGCAGCCCAGGGAGACCTGAACCACCTCAGTCCGTCGGCATTTTCCTGCTGTAGCTCACGAATCTAGTGCTAAGGGCGTGCTGGACATGCAGTCCTCAGAACTGGAGTGTGACCTTCACCAGCAGCCACTCTGCTCTCAGCAACGTGCCACACTGCATTTAAAAGGTGGCATTCCTGGGCAGTCAAGCCCACCTCCGCTGTAAAGACTTGGACCACCCTCACCTGGGGGAGCAGCTCACCATGTCAAGGAAGCATTGAACTTTCAGGACCTCCGGGTCAGCTGCTGGGGGACAGACTTCCTGTGTGGCTTCACCATTGGCCTTGGCTTGGAAGAAGGACATGGCCTCCAACAATCTGGCCATGAAATGTATGATCAATCATTAAATAATTTAATAGCTGTTTTTTAAAAAGTCTCTGGTGATTCATGAGACATAGAAAACAGACTTAATCAACAGAGCAGGTTACATTGTTCCTCGAGTTCGTCCCCTTCTGCTTTCACTCCATGTGATACCTGTGGTTTGTGTCTGTGTGTGAGCTTCCCCCCTGTGCTTTCTGACAGTCACACCTGAGCGGCTCCTATTACCTGATTTCCAGCAATCATGTGTAAGCTGCATATATCACTTACGATTCTGTGTGTCTGTGTCTGTCAGCCCTACCACTGCTTTCAAGTCAGTGACAGCTCAGAGCGGCCCTCCGCGGGGCTCCGGGGCTGGAACTCCTGACTAGGGGAGACTGCCCACCTTCCTTCCACGGATTCCACGTGCTGAACTTGCATAAGCGACTGACACATCACCGGGGCTCCTCCTGTGTGTGTATCCAATCTGCATACACTTGTCGTGTTTGTAAATGCACAGAAGCCTAGAAAGAGCACAGTTACCCACTCTCTGCTCTCAGGTGAGACTCAGCTCCTTCAGTTGCCCGTTGGCATCAATCTGGGAAGGAATCAAAGCTAAGAGAATATAGAAGCTTCAACATGCATTTTGCATATTTCTCAGAGCTTTGACTTTTGTCCTATACATTTTCTGCTTTTATGATAAAAAAAAAGATAGGGTTTTCCCCCCCTAAAAAGAAAAGTTTGATGGTCAGTTGTTAACACAGTTATCAAAGTGTTAGAGAAGAAACTTGTTAGTAGAGCTGACGTTCATACGTCATCTACCCGGAGGCCAGGCTGGATGCACCACAACCAGCTGTTCTCTCAAGGCCCTGATGCCATGCTAGATGCCATCACGACAAACTGTTCTGTCAGACCCTGGTGCCAGGCTAGATGGCACCATGACCGACCAACCATTCTGTCAGGCCCAGTAGGACCTGATTAATAGAAGAAAAATGCACCACAGAAGTCAGATTCTTAAAATGACCTGACTCCCTGGACCACCTGAAACCAGGGACTCAGTGAGACTGTTGCCCTTGACCCAACACTGCCACCTGGGGCCATCTTTCAGCGAAATTAGCAGGGAAGGGAAAGAATCTATATAAGACCAAAATGATGAGATGCTACAGGCCTGTCAGGGTGCTGGGGAGAGAGCCAGGGCCCATGAAATCACCGAGCGATGTTGCCAGAGGTTACAGAAGCTGTGGAAAAGGACCCTCATTTCCTGTAAGCGTTCACTGAGAACACAATTTTATGGCTCTATCTCGATTAAAGAGGCAGCAGACAACATTCTGAAGATAACAAGCATCAGAGGGTGAAGGATCATTGCCAAACCGTTCCCCTCTCCAGGTCTCCACTTCCTCCTCCGCCTCAAAAAGTTACACAACAGAACAGACCATTTAGAACAACTGTTTTACCAACAGAAAAAGCACTGGCCCCTGCCTACACTGGCACACTTGCAGGTTTTTCATTTCCATATTTTTGGTTTAAAAAACATCTCCTACCCCCCCCTCCTCCTAACACACCCAAATCCACCATCTCCAGCCCCTGCCGCAGTCTGTTCCCACAGACTCTCCGTCAGGTCTCCAAAGCTGCCTTTCCTCCTAAGGAGAGGTTTTTGGTCAGCATCTCAACACTATACACCACACCAACGCAGCTCCTCTCCCAGTCCAGTGTGCCCCAAATTAAAGGTTCTCCAACTGCTAGAGTCCCTTACACACAAATACCAGAAACTGATCCAGTGTGGCCACTAGAGGGGGGCATTACACATGAAACGTGAAGCTAGCCGTTGGCAGGAAAGGAAAGGCTTACCTGGGTGGTGACAGTACTGGCCAGGAGGAGGTTGTCCCAAGCACACAGGCAGGTCCAGGCAAAGCTGGACTAAGTATGTCCTGAAGCAAGAGCTCCTTCGTTGTTACTGTTGTTGCTGTGTACCACCGAGTGGGAACTGACGCTCTAGTCGGTTCGCAGAGGCAGTAAATCAGAGATTGCCCTCTTTATCCATGGAGTAGCCAGTGGATCTGAAGTGTGCCTTTGGGTTGGCAGCACAGCTCCTTACCACTAAGCCCCCAGAGCTCCCTACATGCTCCTTAATAACAAAATTACAGATAGGGATGTGGGTCCCACATTAAGGCTTTGGTTCTTTCCTTTCACCACCACCCCCGGCCTCCAGGGCTGAATATTTATAAATGTTCTGGGACAAAAGCAAACGTTAACTTGGAAGTTCTCCTGCCACTGCAATGCTGTGTGGCAGACAGGCCCATTGTTCAGTAAGCAGGGCAGTGCGGAGCGGGGAGGGAATGACTCAATCACCTACAGGGACCAGTGGTGGTGATTACACACCTTCTAGTCCGTTGTGGCTCATGGTGACCTTATGAGCAGACCTGATCCTGCCCTGTGCTGTCCATCTTCGTCATCCCCGCATGAGGAGTCCAAGGATAGCCTTTCCCAAAGAGCTGCTCCTCCTAACATGTCCAAAATACGGGAGACAGTTTCACCACCTCCAAAGAGCATCCTGGTTGCACTTTGTCCAAGATATTCAGTACTTAAAGGCATCAATTATTGCGCTGTCATCCTTTTCAGTGTCCAACTTTCAGATGCATAGCAAGTTACTAAAAAGACCATGGCTTAGATCAGGTGTACCTTAGTCTTTAAACTGATACAGTTGCTCTTTACTACTTTGGAGCAGTCTTTGACAACAGATTTTCCAAAAGCAACATGTCCTGGTCCTTAACATAGTTGATTGTGGACCCAAGTAATTGACAATGCCAATCTTTTTCTCCGTTGCCTATTAGCCAGGGGTGAGGATTTTGTTTTCTTGATGCCTCAGTAGTAACTGTTTCAAGAACCCTGTTTTTCTTGATTTGTCGCTCGGGGATGTGGAAAAAGCCTGACCATCAAGACAGGGTCAGTCCCTTTCAGCCCATGACCCCGCAGCTCAGCAGTTTTTCAATTTCCTGGTGTCAGGAACTGGGGAGACCCCCAATGGCATTTTCTAATGTGGTCTATGTCTAGAGATATTTAGCATAGTTCAAAGTAAGACTGAGTTTATATTCACACCATATACACATCATGGAGTCACTGGAAAAAAATCCCACAATATGACAATTTATAAGGCAAACATGTAATGTTAAAACTGTTTTGAGTCACAGTCCCCATGTAAAGGTGTTAGGGACCCCCAGGAGTGCCCAGACCACAATCTGAGACCTGCCCTGTTAGATGAAACCCACTGCACCAATCCTAAGTGGCCTGTGGTGACCAGTGTCATAGACTGGCAACCAAAAGGTAGGCAATTTGTACCCACCCACTCTCCTCAGATGCGTGGCCTCGGCACCCGGTGGGGACTTGCTGTGTCGGAACCCACTGGGCACCAGGGAGCTTGCATTTGGGTTGCATTTATAACGCTCCCTTGGAGTCTCTGGGTGCCCCAGATAGTTCAACTCTGAACT